GCAGCGATTCCTCCTTCCCACCATGCCACTTCGTAATTCTACTTTACCATGTCCCTCTGCAGCTCAATACCACCCGCTTCCCCCGTTACAACCCTGAATACTTCAAGCCGTGACCTTTATCGGACCCCAACAGGCATTTCCCTTTTATCCTGCATCAGTCTCGCTGCTTTGATGGCTTTCACAAAGGGCTTAATCAAAAGCCTTCTGGAAACCCAGGCAGACCAGATTCACTCCAGCTTCCCAGTCCACGTACTTGCTGACACCTTCAGAAACCTCCCAGCAGATCTGAAGTCTAGGTTCCTCCTCTTCCTCCGCCATTTATGCCTCCAGTCTTCATTAGTTTCTACCAGCGTGGCAAAGACATTGTGGCCACTGGCTGGTAGTTCTCTGAAAACAAACCTTTGGAATCCCGTACACACTTTTGACACTTCTCTAAGTCTGGTGAGGAGCGGCTGAGGGCCCTGGGGGTGTCCAGCCTGGAGAAGAGGAGGCTGAGGGGAGACCTTCTCGCTCTCGACAGCTCCCTGACAGGAGGGGGTAGCGAGGGGCGGTCGGTCTCTGCTCCCAAGGAACAGGTGATGGGACAGGAGGAAATGGCCTCAAGTTGCACCAGGGGAGGTTTAGGATGGATATTAGGAGAAACTTCTTCCCCAAAAGGGTTGTGAAGCACTGGCTCAGGCTGCCCAGGGACGTGGTGGAGTCCCCATCCCTGGAGGGGTTTAACAGAGGGGCAGCCGTGGTGCTGAGGGACGTGGGTTGGTGGTGGGTTTGGCAGTGTTACGGTAACAGTTGGACTCAATACATCTTAAAGGTCCCTTCCAACCTAGATGGTTCTGCAATTCTAATGTGAGAAGAACTTTAAATGAGAGGCTACAAGCAGCAGCTTTGGCCTTTTCATCCTCAGGTCCCCCACCAATTTGGGGTGCAGGCCCAGCCCCCTGCTCACATTCACTGACCACCCTGTCCTACCACCCCCTGTGCCAACGTTTCAGCCCGAGGCCTTCCCCCAGGCCTCCCCATCGGAAGTCTCCAACAGAGAAAGCCCTCTGAGCTCTTCCAAATAAAACCAGGCAACCTTCAGCTTGTCTACTGCAGTCTTCGCTTTTTGGAGTGCTCCTTTCATTCCTCCATTGCCCACCAGCCCCAAGGGCTCCCTGGAAGGCTTCTCCCTTCTATCTGAAAGAGGACACGCCCTCAGATTTGGGGGTTTATCTCAGTAAGTGGATGCCTACGGTCCCTCTTTTGGTTTTGACCTGCTTTACTGCCATTTTTATACTTAATGTTTCTGGCACCATGCATATTTTCTACCGTCCACATTTGGGTAGGACTTTGTTTTCCAGGGTGCCTCAAATACCACCTCCATGACAGAGTTAAACCACCTGGACCTTTCTGTGGATGCATGGGGAAGGTCCCTTCCAGTGCCCTTCTTTGATGGGACAAATATCTACCCTATGTACCGCAGACTCACACACTCCTACGCTGTCTGCACAGTGCTTGCAAATCATTTTTCAGCCACTGAAGGCAGCAAGACATTAAGGCTTCAGGGCACGAACACGGCCCACACCGCCGATGGTGGGACAGAACTGGCTGCAGCAGCTCCCCTACAGCCATCTCCTGGGGCGGTGGCAGGATCTGCGTCAACATCCGCTTGACGTAACTAGGGACACAGACGGCTCAGCGGCACTCTCACACATCACTCGAGGCAATGGACCTCCCTAGCAAATGCCGGATCTCCAGCAGCGCTCCCCCCTGGCACAAGCGGTTACAATTCCGTTTGTTGGTTGGGATTTTTGTTTTCAAAACAGCAAAACGCTCGTCATCCAACTGAGAAACCCAAAGCGACTCAGCTTTTGCAAAGGGGCTTTCGGGATGAAGGGCTTTACGACCACCTTCAGGAGACACCTAGCGCGGTGCAGAGGTGCGCTCACAACCAGCCGTCACCTCCCCGTCACATCCACGGAGATCGCCGCCGCCGCGCATGTACCTGCAGTTACTATTGACAAAGTGAGGCAGAGTGACATGTGGCAACATTTATGACAGCCACCGCAATCATAGCTCAGACAAGGGACGTCTCCAGGGGCCGGGGACCACTCAGGCAAGCGGAAGGAGTATCTCCAAAGCCACCCAGGGAAGCTGATGTGCTGGGAGGAAGAAGAGGGGAAAGAAGAGCCTCTCGCCGGTGCTCCACAGCTGAGAAATGCAGAGCAACGTGGCCGTGGGGACACTCTTCTGGCACTGCCGAGGAGCTCTGCGTAGCAGCCTGCAGAACGTGGGCAGGAGAGCAACTGCAGACACCAACCGTCAGAGGATCCCTCCAAAAATTAACAGTGACAGCAACATCCCACGGAGCTGCGCAGAAGAAATGGCTCTAGAACTGAAGTTACAGAAACACTGAAGAAAACCAACAGAAGGTGACGGGCTGCGGTGAAAATACATCTCTCAAATAGGCTCATGTTCATCCACCATGTAAGTATTTACTTTGTAATATTTAGAAGTCCTCTTCAAGAGGAAAGCCAGGTGAGGCAGATGAACCTTGTCCCCTTCCAACCCTCTGCTCCCCCTTTCTGGTAGCTTGTAACTCTCGTTTAACCCTGACAATGATCCTCCCAGCCTATGGAGCTGTGGCCCTGTAGTAATACCTCCGCTCAAGGCACGATTTCAGTCCAAAAGCTCACTGGAGTCACCTTCCCCATGCACGCAGCTGCTACACGGCAGCTCTGCCTTTGCAAAACCACAGCAAACAATTTGCTCTCGTCTGTCCGGGCTGGGTTCGGCTGAACGTCCCTCCTGCAGTTTGTATAGAGAGAATCTCAGTGCAGAGACGGGACACGCTGCGGGGGGTCACAAGGGACCTTCGCCCAAACTAACGCCACCCCATCGAGAGGAAAGGCCGGAGGAACGTAAGAGCTGTTTGCTTTCGTAGCCGTACATGTTTTTTTAAAAAAAACAAACAACAAAACCAAAACAAAAAACAGAAAAGGATGACCAAAATATCTCGCTTGATGTTCTGCTTAGCACTAGCAATGTTAGAGCCACCATTTTAAAGCAGTGGGACATCCGAGTTCAGCTCTGAATCGCATTACCTTCCTTTAAACATTACGTAAAGCAAAAATAACATAAACAATAAGGTTAAGAGGCTGAGGTTTTGCAAAACTGAGCTGAGTGCAACACCGTAATTTTCTGACACTAACAAACTTTGGTTTAGAAACATTTATACTGTAATGCAATCCTAAAGATTGCTTATATATACCTATATATATATTTGGGGAAAAAAGATAAATATAGTGTGCTGAAAAAATAGCTTCTGTTCTGTCCAAGGGCAGACACACCATCTGCTCTGGGATATACCTGCAGTAAATCTGCACAAACGCAAACTCACGCCATCCAGTCAATAAATAATTTAATGAGGTTACAGTTCTGCCAGAAACCACGACGGCACCCCTTTCCCAGCCTCCGCTCCAGCCTCGCCCCGCGGGCACGGCACAAAAACGCACACCAGCCAAACGACAAACCACAGCTGCACCAGAAGGCCACGGGAATGCACAGATCTTCACAGAAGATATCGCCTCAGGCCCAGACACTCGTACACCGTTAACACTCGCCTCCGTGGGGAAAAACATGCAGCACCTGCCATCAGCCTCCCAGTTCCACTTCAGGCAGATCATGCGCCAGGGACCATGCGTTTGGGGGAGGGGGACAGCCCGGACCCACCGTGTACCAAAACATCGAAACATGGGGATGGTGACATGAAGAGGAAGGCTGCAGCAAAGCTCTCTGCTGCAAGTCTTGGAGATGACTCTCGTGGAACGAAGCCCGCGGTCAGAATGGAAGTCGCTTCAACTGCTCGTATGTGATAAAAAACTAAAGGGAACGTCAAGGAATTGGGCAAAATACGTAAGGCAGCTGCACCAGGGCCTCCCGACACGAGCGGGCCATGTCTGGAAAGGCAGGTAGAGCATCAGCACAGCACAGCTGAAGACCAGCGTGGGGAAGCCCCTCCTCCAGGCAGCATAAACCCATCTGCACAGGAGGAAGAGAGCGCTGCGGGACGAGAGCTACCGGGAGAGGGAAGAGACTGACCCAGAAGAAAACTGGCCCAGGCTTGCCTGGACCATTGAGAAAGGGAGGTGGCTCTAACCCCGGACTGGGACTTCTTTAAAATTAATTTATACACTCAATTTCGGAGGGCAAGAAGGATCCAGTACAGCAACACAGCAGGGCTGGTTCTGGAGAGCAGGTCAGCACCAGTCTCAGAGCAGCAGAATGTTCCCTGGGCTTCCCTCACGAAACATCCAGAAACCACAGCACTTCCAGGAGCTCAGGCCAAAGGGAAAGTCTCAAGCCAAGCACTTGAGAGCACTCACTCTACAGGAAACCACCCGTGCTGCTGCGCTGGAAGCCCCTGCACTGGCCACCCGCAGAGCTGTCAGAGGCAGGCACCAC